CTGTATGTATGTATGTATGTCTGTACGTATGTATGTATATGTTTGTATGTATGTATGTCTGTCTGGATGTATGTCTGGATCTATGTATGTCTGTATATATGTATGTCTGTATGTATGTATGTCTGATTGTATGTATGTCTGTATTAAGGTCTGTCTGTCTGTATGTATGTATGTCTGTATGTATGTACGTCTGTATGTATGTATGTCTGTATGTATGCCTGTATGCATGCATGTATGTATGCATGCATGTAGCTATGTATGCTTGCACGCATGTATGTATGCATGTATGTGTGTGTGCATGTATGTATGTATGCATGTATGCATGCATGTATGTATGCATGTATGTATGTATGCATGCATGTTTGCATGCATATATGTATGTATGTATGTATGTCTGTATGTCTGTATGTCTGTATGTCTGTATGTCTGTATGTCTGTATGTCTGTATGTACGTATGTCTGTATGTCTGTATGTCTGTATGTCTGTATGTCTGTGGCATGCATGCATGCATGCATGCATGCATGCATGCATGCATGTGGGCATGTATGTAGGCATGTATGTCTGTATGTCTGTGTATGTATGTATGTCTGTATGTGTGCATGTATGTATGTCTGTATGTCTGTATGTCTGTATGTCTGTATGTCTGTATGCCTGTATGTCTGTATGTCTGTTTGTCTGTATGTGTGCGTGTATGTATGTCTGTATGTCTGTATGTCTGTATGTCTGTTTGTCCGTATGTCTGTTTGTCTGTATGTCTGTATGTCTGTATGTCTGTATGTCTGTATGTATGTATGTCTGTATGTCTGTCCGTATGTATGTATGTATGTATGTCTGTATGTATGTATGTGTGTGTATGTGTGTATGTATGTATGTATGTATGCATGTAATGTAATGTAATGTACTGTAATGTAATGTAACGTAACGTAATTTAATGTAATGCAGTCATGTAATGTATGTAAATCTATATACACAATTATATAACCATAAATCATGATATCTGATCATGGCCATGGGTCACCATGAGTTCTCCACGCCGTTACCAAGGGATGCCTTTTTCGTTCCTTGCCGTGTCCGGTCCGGCCTGCCACATCAATGCACTTGCTGGGCAAAGGGGTCCACCTGGACAGGCTGAAGGCACCCAGGCTTTCCACCATGGCTGTTGGGTCGATGTTTGTTACCCTCTGGTAAACATGAAATTACTTTACTTCGTGTGATCCCCACCATGACATTTATACATTTTGTTACTGGCAAATCTTCTGGCATTCTATCTGACATATTTTCTGGCATTCGATCTGGCATTCTATCTGGCATATCTTCTGGCATTCTACCTGGCATATCTTCTGGCAGATGTTCTGGCATATCTTCTGGCAGATGTTCTGGCATATCTTCTGGCATATCTTCTGGCATATCTTCTGGCATATCTTCTGGCATTCCATCTGGCATTCTATCTGGCATATCTTCTGGCATATTATCTGGCAAATCTTCTGGCATTCCATCTGGCATTCTATCTAGCATATCTTCTGGCATATTATCTGGCAAATCTGCTGGCATTCTATCTGGCAAACATTCTGGCACTTTATCTGGCATATCTTCTGGCATTCTAGCTGACATTCTATCTGGCATTCTATCTGGCATACCTTCTGGCATTCTATCTGGCATATCTTCTAACATTCTATCTGGCATATCTTCTGGCACTCTATGTGGCATATCTTTTGGCGTGGATACTCGCGGTTGAGGTCCGGCAGGGAACACTGGGCGCGGATGGTCGCGGTTGAGGTCCGGCAGGGAACACTGGGCGTGGTCGTGGTTGAGTCCGGCAGGGAACACTGGGCGCGGATGGTCGTGGTTGAGGTCCGGCAGGGAACACTGGGCGTGGATGGTCGTGGTTGAGGTCCGGCAGGGAACACTGGGCGTGGATGGTCGTGGTTGAGGTCCGACAGCGAACACTGTGGATCGCGAGTCGCAGTTGAGCAGGAGGACGAGGAGGACAACGAGAGGAGGAGGACAACGAGAGGAGGAGGACAACGAGAGGAGGAGGAGAGGAGGAGGAGGCAGGAGGAGGAGGCAGGAGGAGGAGGACCAGGCAACTTAGATAAAATCTAACAACCCTCACCTGGCAGGTGGGGAAAAAACTATGGAAAATCACCTTTTTTAATGGGTAAATCCACTGTTTCTATGGCCATTTTCAATAGCTATGTTAAATTACCAGAGGGTACCAAGAATCCACATTCACCAACAGAGCATCAAGATTTTGAGATCGGCACCTGATGTTACCTTCCTTCACAGGTGTCCAGAAGCGCTGTTGGGGAAGACCAGGGTCCCCTGCAGGGCGCCAGGGTGCCCAAAACCCTCCAAGACCTGAGACAAGGCCCAGCTAATCAGAGCTAATGTACATCTAAATGGGCCATATTAGATATGTTCAGTGTTCACCATCTCATTGGGCCAACTTTCCATCAATTTTGAGACTCATTTTCACGTACCTTGGGGGTCATGAAGGTGGGTTGCCGACCAGAGACTCAGTCCATAAGCATGGGATCTCCGGCGCATTCGCTATCATCCGTCATGGGGCAGATGTTCAACAATCTGGGTGCGTTCCAAATGGACGAAATTCTCTATTTCGTGTATGGCTGCCTCCCTCTTGTTCAGAGATGTAGCCAACTTATCTGGATCTCTTTGAGGTGCTTTTGGCAATGCCACAAACAACTACCATTTTTGGGGTTGGTTTATGGGTACCATTTCTGATGATTTTGGGGATGGTTTGTGAAATTGGGCTTACCACATTACGCGGACTACCCTTCTTCCCACCTCCTTGGCGGCAGCCGTTCATCCGCAGGATCCTCGCCGGCACTGGTTGGGAGTATACCCTCTGGTCATTCAACATACCAATGGAAACTGTGCCATTTATAGGCGATTTTTGTAGGATGTTTCATGAAATTAGCTGGATTTAGTGGGATATCATGGGATATTATATGATGACCCGGCTGGGTTATTTAGCCTAGCTCTGGAACATGGACTAAAATTCAAAAATGGACCATCTCGCTCGGTGACTTACCGTGATCTACCTATTGCTTTTAAATTGTGACTTTCAATAGCTAGGCTATGTTAAATTGCCAGAAGGTGTATGATGATTGATATGCAAGCATTGAAATCACCAAGCAGGAGGACAAGCTCCAGGTCTCCGTTGAACTGATAAGCCATAGCCATGCTGGAAATTGGTGTCTTTCGGTGAGTGTCTTCCATCAGCCTTGCTCTGATTCTTCGCCAAAGTTTCAGCTGTCTCAAATTCTAGGACAGGTCGTTATACAGTAACTCAACTCAGACAAAAATCAAAGGACCCAAAGCTGGGTTTAGGCGCGGTGCTTCAACTTTGAGCAAGGTCTTTTCTCATGAGCTAAGTTCCAATACTGATTGCCTCCCAAGTTCATCCATTCGCATTTTTAAAGATTACACATGAGCCATCTCCCACGCGGGAAAGCTTTGAAAGTGGGCCCCCCAAAAAACCCATGGTCTCACTAAATCATCTATTCTCCCAATCTAAACAAAATCAAGGGGAAATTCCAATGTTGGGTAACCACATAGCCACATCAAACCCAGCCCCCAGGTCCAGTCCATTGATCCGAACTTCTAGACCTCAGCAGCACTCAGTAATCCCCAAAAAGATGCAGAAAAAGTGTGAGTTAGGACTTTTTTGTTTCTGGTGGTGGCTATAAAGTTCTCGTATTGCTGAAAGATTTGCAGAATCTATACTTAAAACATCTTAAAATATATTTGAAATTGATGTTCAATATTGCTGCTGACGATGTTTAAAATCGTCAAAAGGGTGTTTCCCCCAAATAGATGTTACAGTAGTTGCTTCTTTCGAAGGTCCAATGCCATCTTGTAGACCATGACCGTGCCCTAAGCCCGCGACACCTCCAGACAGCGTGCCATGGCGCTGATCTGGGTAACCAAGCCTGCACCGCAATGGGGCTTTCTTAAAATGGGGGAACCCAACATCATCTGGTTGGTGGTTTTAACCATCTTGAAAAATATTAATGGGAAGGATTATCCCATATATTATGGAAAATAAAAAATGTTGCAAACCACCAACCAGTCATGCATTTTGTTTTATCAGGTTCGATAGTAAGTAATAGGTATTCCACTTTTGAGAAACACACAAATAGTTGTGTTCCAGTCTTGTTTCCCACAGTGATGAGACCCTATCAGTTCCCCCCTTGATGGGTTACAACTAGCCGGCCCAGAACTGGGCCCATCACTGGCAGGGGCCCATTGTTACAACTTCCAAGAATTCTGTTACATTTGGGATGCTCAACAGGGTGCCAACGGATCCACAAAATGAATCAAACATGGGTCATGGTTATAGCAAACCAAATCAAAAAATAGATGTCTTATAAGGCTTCAAAGAGCAAAAGGTACGGTCCTTACTGACCAAGTTGTTGGAGCATGTGAGAGCCAGTTATCCACGGGCTTTTGGGTCTTTGAAAAAAGATGGCGGCTAAGAGGGCGCTACAAGCTGGAAAGCGCTGTCAATCACCCCAAAAGCCAGAAACAAGATGAGAGGCCACTCATGAACTATCCAAGATTTCCTGCACTTTGACTATGTTGTTTGTCTCCCTGTTCTGAAAACACCAACCGCCATGAAGTACCATTTCCATCCATTTCCATCCAAGCAAGCGATTCGATCCATATCACGAACTTTTGACTTAACCACTCAACACAGAGTCCCCAGCAACGTCTCCCTTTTGGAACCACAAGCCGAGTCAAATGTAGCAGCTCAGACCACTGGGACCACTGGGGGTATTCTTCTACCTCGGGCACGGTGCCCGGTGCCTCCCATTTCATCCATTTAGGGTAGTGAAACCCAACATCTACAATAATTCCTCCCCAAATGGTCTGTTCTGAAAGGAATTCCATGGCTTGGGCGGTACACATTTAGAGAGACACTCATGTTTTGGCCACACCATCCTATAAAAATCATGTCAAGTAGAGGGGTCTGATATGGTCTATGGTCCATGTGGTCTAAGAGGGTCTGAGCTGGGATGTTTGATCCTGGAACCCATAGATTGCCGAATGATCTTGGTGCCGGGGTTGTCCTGGCAGACAATCTAACGATTGCAACGGCTCGATTCGCTCGATCCCTTCCCAGCCGAAATCCCCGTCCCTTTCTCAGCGAAGCAGATCAGCCGTGTGAGCTATGCATGGGATCCATATGACCATCACGGGCCTGCTCTGCCTTCAGGTGTCACTGCCATCAAATCCCAGGCAGTCACTATCGCCATACGATACACGGGGAAGGTTTAGTGACATCGGATGGAGGAGGTCTCCTCCCACGACTCCACAAATGGTGCTTCGCCACCGCAGTTGCCACTCCCCACATCCAGCCACTGCTCACCCAACGTCCCCTGTTCCACCTCCGGCACGACGTTGCGCACGTCGCGCGCGTCGCGCACGGCGCTTCGGCTGACACGGCAGGTCGGCAGAAAGAAGTTTCTCTGGTGAAGTCTGGGCCTGGAACAGGAGGAACATGGAGGAACTGACCCGCGCCAAGAGGTGTACAAAGTCATGTGGTTTCCATTGGAGTTTCAAGTTGTGAGTCTCGGCATGCAACTTATTCAACCATCCTTTAAGCACCGTTCCATCCCCAGGTAAGGTCCAACATGGTCCAACAAATGAAAACAACCTAATTCTATCAAGTGGTTTCGGATTCAAAATAACGGTGCTTGAAACGGAATACACAAGGCTTGTGGTTCAAGCTTTGTTTCCAGCTCGGACAATTCCCCGACTTAAGAGGCGCGTCCCCGACGTGTGGTCCTGACATGGTCTATGAGCTGCAACGTTTCCAAGTCTTGATTCAGTTTAATTGTTCTGCTAAGACTGTATATGTTCTAGATATTACGGGTGCAGAATAGTTTTTGTTTTATATGTATCCAGCAATTCTGCTTTTTTTTGGGGGTTTTCTTTCCTGGTACCATTTGCCTTGTATTTGCAAACAATGGAACTAGAACCTGTCGCATGGTATTTGCTACATTATGGCATGGTCACGTTGAATTTTGCATGGTATTTGCTACATTTGGCCATGTTTGCCTTCCATTTTGCATGGGATTTGCCACATGTTGGCACTCCAACCTCTCAATTGCATCGTATTTGCTACATTTTGGTACTTCAAACGTTCATGTGGGTTTCTTGAGGGTTTCGTCAGGGCCGTTAGGGTTTCATTTATATAGGGTTTCGTTTAAGGTTTCTTTAGGATTTTTTTAGGGTTTCATTTATGGTTTCTTTAGGGTTCATTTAGTGTTTCACTTAGTTTCCTTAGAGCTTCATTTATATAGAGGGATTCATTTACGATTTCCAAACGTTCAAGTGGCTTTCTTTAGGTTTTCTTTTGGGTTTCATTTAGGGTTTCATGTAGGGTTTCTTGAAGGTTCCATGTAGGTTTTAGGGTTTCTTTATAGTGTTGTTTAGGGTTTCTTTTTTGAGTCTCTTTAGGTCTTCATTTAGTTTTTTTTTAGGGTTTCATTTGAGGTTTACGGTTTCTTTAGAGTGTCATTTAGGGTTTCTTTTTTGGGTCTCTTTAGGTCTTCATTTAGGTTTTTTTTGGGTTTCATTTAGGGTTTAGGGTTTCTTTAAAGAGTGTCGTTTAGGGTTTCTTTAGGGTGTTGTTTAGGGTTTCTTTACGGTGTCACTTAGGGTTTCATTTAATGTTTTTTTTGGTTAATTTATGGTTTCTTTTGGGTTCATTTAGGGTTTCATGTAGTGTTTTTTAACCGGATTTCTTATCAGGATTCCTTTACGGTTTCTTTGGGTTTCACCTAGGGTCTCTGTAGGATTTCATTTGGGATACAAACAGGAGAGAATAAAGCAAAAGAAAATGAAAAACACAGAGACAGCAAAGACAGGAAGCAGAGAAGCATAGGAGCAGGAAGTAGAGCAGCAAAAACTGTCACATGACCGAAGAAAAAACAAGTAGAATAGTAGAAGTAGAAAGGCACAGAAGCAGAGAAGCAGGAAAAGCAGAGAAACAGGAAAAACAAAAACCAGAAAAGCAGAGAAGCAGGAAAAGCAGAGAAGCAGAAAAACAGAGAAGCAGGAAAAGCAAAGAAGCAGAAAAAACAAAAAGCAGAAAGAGCAAAAAGCAGAAAAGCAGAAAAACTGAGTAGCAGGAAAAGCAGAGAAGCAATCAAAGCAGAGAACCAGGACCCCCAAAAAAAACAATACCTGCCCCCCCCCAAAAAAAAAAATAAGTAGCCATCCTATTTCTATACTGCTGGTGCAAATCGTAAACGAAGACCGAATTCAGAACAAAATGATAAAAATCAAACTCTTGACATGATTTCCTTGAAGCTACATCCCCAGTTTGTTTCTTATCCCCAACTGTCCGAGCATCAGCTGTGCCCCTGCGTTCTTCCTGCAGTTCATCGTCTTTCTGCCCAGCGCAATCTCTCTCCAATTCGATCTTCTCATCAATGCCGAACCTTTCCTGAAGGGATTTTCTTCCAGCCCTGCTGAAACTTTGGACATTTTGGCAGAGAAATCCCGAGACATCCCAAGTTTTTGCAATTTCTAAATGTGTTTTGTTTATAAATATGTTGGAAATGCTTCGCGGCTCAACTGAGTTGGTTGGCACATCCGATGCATGAACTGGCTCACGAACACAAGTCATCCCTGGCTGACATGGCATTCATGGTGGTTCGTTGGGGAATCAAGATGCGCAGCAGCAGGTCATCACGCTGATTCTGATTGGCTGAATCAGCTCCTCTTTGGGTTCGATATGTTATGTAAATGCAAATGCCGGATCGAACAGAGTGGATTTCACACATTTCCACTTACAAGTCTCGTGTCAGTCACCAGTCCCACAATTTGTCCAACGATTCCACTGCCTTTCAAGAAACGCCAAATCAACAGCACAATGTTTCCCGGATTCCCAGAACCTCATCATCCAACAAACCCTCTAACCTGCACCAGTCATAAAACGCCAAAAGCCGAATGAGTGGAAAACAGTCAGCCAAGAAACAATACCATATGGAATCACTTCCAATTCCTTGGCCACGGTTGGCTGAGGATCGCGACAAACGCCATTGCTTTTTTATTTCACCTAGCAATGGAAGTCACCATTTCACCAGGGAATTGAAATATCAATCTACAAACGGAGGTGTCCAATATGTGAGTTCAGATTGTCACATAAAGTAACCATAGACATCTCATGAAAACTCCAGTCCCTCAGCGACGTTGCAAAAGGTCAAGGTGCATCTTGCCAATCTTCAAAGCGTTCCTCCCCTTTCGTTGGGGGATCGTTCGCGCAGAAGAAGACTCCTTCAATGACCACTGCGCAACTTGGAACCACCACCTCAACGGGCAACGGCTGGACCCAAATTCATATCATTTGATCTCTGCCTTAAGGAAGGCCAATTCTAGCTCTAGGCATACACTTAACGAAGTTGCAAACAGGGTTGGGATACGTGGAGATGCCCAGCCAAGAAAAAACCACCAAGATGATCCATGAACACGCCTTCCTTCCGTTGTACCTGGTGCTTCCTTTTTGGATCCTTTGGATTTTCCACAAGCAGCGCTACAAACAATCCCAAGTGCACCCACAACCGCATATCCCACTCACCTGATCTCCACCCTTGGATCTTTGTTTCCGCACTTCTTGAGGGTTATACCGAACCTGCCCAAAAACGAGAGGATCACAGAAAAAAACATCATCTAAAGGCCTCCCTGGAGCTCCCTGGGTTGAAAAAGGGTGGCAACAATGCCGTGGAGAAATTCCTACGTGTCTAATTTTGGAAAGGAGGTGGCACACCTGCCACAGATATATCTACTGTATACCCACCAGGAGTAGCTATACATTATGACATTCGCGAATTGCGCACAACTCAATTCGGAAAACCTCTGATGGAGTCAGCTTTCTGCAAAA